GTGGTCTTAGTCTGGAGAACAGACTTCACTCTATTCTAGTCCACCATATTGTTTGAAATAGTCTTCAGCAGACAAAAAGGCAGTTTTAACAAATTAAAGCACAAATTCCTTAAACATCATCTTCAATCTGTACAAAATTGTCCAAATATAAAGACAAAGCCAACCAAACTGCCTAACATTAGCATCATGTATGGTAAAATCTCACACTGCAATTATGATGCCAGTAGGCTTCCCAGAAATCAACAAATGAATCACTAGTTATAACCATTAAAAATAAAGCTATGATTTACTATCAGAGAAGTGAGGTGGTAGTAACAGAGACATCAGTCTAAGTCATTGAATTTCCTTGCTTTTCAGTGATACATTGAAAAACTGTTTAATTGGTAAGAAAGCAATAATGCTAAAATGCTGATTTCAGGCTGCATGTGCTGCAGTGGTAGTTTCACAGGAGAAATTGTGCTGTCTTGTTCCCTAAAATAATTACTGTAGATTAGTTTATAGTCTTAGAATATGTGCTAGTACATGTGTGTGCTTGTGTTTCTGGACTTCCCATGTATGGGGGGTCTCTGTTTCGTGCTGGAGGCATGTTTCATGCCCTCAGTATCAGATAAAAAGGACCAGGTGACACCCCAGCTGTGTTTCCAACCCTTGAAATAGTCACAATGCACACCCATGAGCTAAAGACAAATCCCCTTTAGTCTTTGGGAAACAGATGACAAGAAGCGATAGTAACAGCCTTGATTAAAAGCTTGGAATACATTTGGAGAAATAGGAATTTACTTTTGAAACATGAAGTACCTGTAAGTAAATGTAACCAGATCTTTCTTTTGGTGCTGACCTAGGCAGGTGCTACAGAAGCTGGGGATTCAGGGTCTAGATGCCCCTCCCAGGAGCCACAGCCACTCTTGGAGACTTTTCCTGTTTTTGTTGGTTGGTTTGGTGGGGTTTTTTTGGTTGGTTTTTTTTTTTTGTTTGGTTGGTTTTTTGTTTGTTTGTTTTTGAATAAACTTCCTCTGCTTTTCTGCTGTCTCCTGTTTTATTGCAGAGTTGTTCTTGTGGTGATGGATCTCCGCTCCATCAGGATAACTGCCTTGTGCCTCTGCTCTCTTCTGGCATCTGGAAAGCAGTGGCTGGAGCACCTTGCAGAGCTCTCAGCTCTGACTGGCAACATGATAAACATGTGCTCTAAAACTGCATGATTACTAGGCTTTGTCTTAACATTTTAGTGCATTTCTATTGCTCATGCTCCAGTTTTTAATTACTATTATTTTTAACAAATACTGTGCGTTTTAGTTAATTTTTGAGTTCTGTTAATGTATATTCTGTACCTTGTGCAGCACAAGTGATAAAGATTCTTCCCCATATATATACAGTATGAGGAACATCTTTTTCGTGATTTTTTTTTTTTTTTTTTTTTTTTTGGTTTTTTTTTTTTTTTTTTTTTTTTTTTTTTTTTTTGTTAGGAGGAGATTTATCCTAACACTTTGTTTTCCTTGGTACTCCTGCTGTTACCACTTCTATTGCCCAAGGAAATGTTTCTACCTCAAATCCCTCTGCTTCCACAGTCTATGCACAGACTGTGAATATAGTCCATAGGTCACACTTTGGAGAAAACAGAAGGGTGAAAGGAAAAGTAAAAGCTACAGGTCTCAAAAAGGGGGTGTCCTAGTGAACTTTAATGGCTTTTTGCATGGAGCAGCTCAGTTTGGGGATTCTTACAGCCTCCTTGGTCATGCCATTCTGGCTCTGCAGAGGTAGTCCGAAGAAAGAGCTAAAACAAGGTGACAAGATCTGGATTTCTGTATTTTTATTTTTATATAAAAATAAAAATACTGTCTGAATATCATGAGAATTTTATCTGTCAGCAACTTCTCAACAAAGAAAACAAGACTTTTCATGAAAAAAATTATTTTCACTTTAGGTATTTTGTAATCAGCTTATGAAGACCAAATGGTAAAGTAATTTGCCTAGATGTGGCAAATCTACCTTGTTTAACAAGAAAGCACAACACTTAAATAAGTACAAAGAAATTACGAATGGCTACTAAACGCTTGAAATTCACACTTTGTAACATTTAGCAATGCTAGAGCAATAGTTTAGGTTAGGCGGATGTTTTTTTGTGAGTTAGTATGATTTGCAGAAACATTCTGATAAGGCATGGGTTTTTAATCTTTAGTTTCTTTCATAATAAATTTAACAGTTTAAAGACCTATATAAAATCCACTCCTGCAATTCAATGTTATTAGCATGAGAACAATTTTTCACTTTTAAATAGTGATTTGACTTTTTGGCTTTTCTTGCAAATGCGATCCAAACATCACTGATATCGCTAGAAATATTTTGCATATTTATAGTGGGTATTTGGTTCCCAAATATAGTGGGTTTAATTCCTTTGGGTGAAATAAACATTTGGACAAGAGAACAAATGGCTGTATTCTCTTGTAGCTAGGGGAACACAGTGATGTGATATTGGGGGGGCTCTCACAAGTCTAAGGTGGTCTTCCTGAGTCAAACAACGGTATTGGAACATATGTGCTATTTCTACATAAGGTTTAATTATTCCATACAACATTAAGTGGTTTTACCCTCAAAGAGCTGGTGCAGGCTTGAATCACAAAACCCAATAATGGAGTAACTGGAGCTTTCACTCATGAGATGGGAGATGTGGGCTGAAATCACTTCACATAAAGGGAAAGTATCTCAAGTGAATACTACAATGCTGTTTGCTAGAATGAGAAGGGAGAACCCTACCATACATCATAATGCTGGGCTAGACTATTTAATAAATTCCCAAGTCCTCTTTAGAAATATATAAGAAGCCAGGGCTTTCAGTTTTCTACAGAATGTTCCAGCAGAAAACACACATACCACCTTCCAGAAGAAGACTCACAGAACTGTCAGACCATTATGACACCCTGAATTCTTCTGTAGACGAAGTCCAGTGATCATTCCATCTTTTCTTTGTGTATTTAAATGTATATATCCTCTTCTGAACATCATAACCCAAAATGTACCAGTAGGTCTGTATGGTCTGAATTAAAACATGAAAGAGTTGGTTAGTGAATAGCTGGACTAAATATGCAAATTACAAAGTTTTCTTTGAGGCTTTATATGAGAAGATGTTTTAAAAACTTTATCAATGTCAACATGTCAGACTGAATGTCTCTGTGAAATCTTGAAGCTGCTCTTTCATCTATGTTGTAAACACATCAACAAGTATGTAGAATGTCTTGACTTTGAAATGCTGTCACCTACTTTCTGTATCGTTGTCAGTAGTCAGCTTGTTATAAAAGTGTTTCATATCTAACTCTGTTTCTTTTGGTAGTGTGTCGACATACTGCATTTTTCAGCTGTGCTCCTTGCTACCTCTTTCATTTTTATCAAAAATTCTGTGTGACAGAAGTTTTTCTTTGCAACATGTTGATATCTCAGGTTCTCCACTGTCACCAAAGCAGTTGTGCTACTTTGAGGATAAGTTGAGTATGTGTAAACCATCTTCAGTGTTTTGTGCCAAAGTGCAGTGGGATTTTGTACTCAAATGTTTTTGTGATGATGAGAAGTCCCCAAGCTTCAGTCATTGTCTTTGCTTCTCAGTTTGGAAGTTTCCCAGAATGTGTTCTATTTAGTAACCCCGAGATGCTTGCCTGTTTGGAGTCCACAGTTTGCTTGGAACAAACCCATCTGTGATGGACGATTTCTTAAATGTGAGTGTACTCAGACATTCTATTCTGCTGTTTCTCATACAATTTTTTTTGTTTTGGTGTTTGTTTTCAGAACATATCAAAAAAATTGCCTCAAGTGCCCCAGCTGGAATGTGAACATCTGTATTTAGTTACTGCATTCCAAAATGTAAGACACTTGCTACTTAAAAATTTTGAATTATACTGTTTCACAAGGATTTTCAGTTCCAAAATACAATACTGCTGGAGTTTACAGTGGTACATTTTTGGTTGAATTGGAAAAAAAATTCTGTTCAATGCCTTTGAGACTTGTGCAGTGGAATTGCATAGATTTGTACATGAGGGGCAGTGAGTCCATGGACTGTGATGAAGTACTGAACAGAACCATAGAATCCTTTAGGATGGAAAAGACTTTTGATATTATCGCGTCCAACTGTTAACTCAGCACTGCCAAGTCCACCACTAAACCATATCCCTCAGAACCAGATTTGCAGACATTTTAAATCCCCCCACAGAAGGTCACTAAACCACTTCCCTGGGCAGCCTCTTTCAATGCCTGATAACCCTTCCCATAAAGAATATCCAATTTATATCCTGTCTGGTGCATCTTGAGGCCATTTCTTCTTATCCTGATATCAGATACTTGTGTCATTGTTGTGTGCTGCATCTTGCTGCATCTACAAGGGTACAGTTTCAAAGATCAATTCATGTTGAGTTCCTATATCAATTTGGTTCCAGTGCTGTAAATCACAATTTCCTGGTATCTGACATGAGTTAGGGGGGTTGGCTTGTGTCCATGCCATCATCTGCAAGGATGCACAATATTTCTGCGCTTGTACTTTCTGTTGTGCATTACTTGCACTGCAATAATATCCCAATGATCTCCTCAGGACTAGACCACAATTTGTTACCTGTGTACAAGACACACAATTTTGCACTTAACCTTCTTATGATGTATTAGTAAATATATTATGAAGCATTGAATTGGTAAATTTAAAATCATTAAGGCAATGATCATAAAAGTTGAAACAGGGAGAAAATATAATATTGGAAGAATGTGTGGTTTTACCTTAATACAAGGAGAATAAACTTCATTTTTGAAGAAAGATCAGTGCATGAACTTGTTTCCTCCTCTATCAGTATAGATCACATTCCTGATAACTAACATATAAAGAAACATTTTCTAGTTATGGTATGTTTCAAAACCAGGTTGACATGAACCAGAGATCAAACAAAATCTGTATACACGGACCTACTTTGAAAGAGTGAAGGATCTGTAGGGTGTTCAGATCATATAGTCTGCAGAAATTTAATTGGCATATTGTTGCTATTTAACTTAAAATGCACAGCATAGCTACAGTATGGAAGATTATTAGAAATAACTGAGTAAGTAGGCTGTCATTCTAAGAAAGACAGTTTCAAATTAAGAGAATTATCTTTGGAATACATATGTGTCTTAGCCCTGACTACATCAAGCTGTTAATCATATTGGCTGGACCCCCCACACTTTGCATATGCATCACACTGCTGCTTTACACACTGTTTGTGGTTCAGTTGTTTTATTCCACCTTAATCAGTATAAATTTAATAATTAGGATGTTACCAGGGAAGTCAGAAAGGGAAGATTAAGATTTCTAGAAATGTTTAGGTGAGCATTTCAAAGAGAACAGTATCTAAAATATTTGTTTCTCTCTTTTTTTTTTTTTTTCCAAATGAAATGGAGTGGACGCAAAGCCAAGAAAATAAATTCCCTTGAGGAGGAATCAGACACATAGTTGGTAAGTGGCCATAGTATATCCATATCATGGTTTCCTCAAATCATTGTTTGCCAAAATAATAAATCACATTTGAAAAAATATAAACTTTCTTGGTGAATAAAAATGCTATGTGTAAAACAAAATGTATTCTAAAAATTCATCATATACCAGACCTGTATTTTCAAAATTCACAAATTTTTGTCTGTTCCTTGACTACAGACAACTATTTTTTACAAATGAAAAAATTATTCTAGGAAAATAATCTATAGATTTCCTAGTACACTTATCTATTTAAAGGAAAAACTCTAAAAAAGTGTTACTTTTCAGGAGTTCTAAATATTTTTTAGTTATAGAATTTGAATTTCCAATCTAAAGCAAGAAATCTTGCTGACAAGAAACATTTTCAAAGGACATGAACCATTAGGTGATCTGGAATCCAGATGTTAGCTCTATAGCTGTAAACAGAATTGATTCATAATAATTTAAAACAAAAAGCTTAAAAAAATAAGAGCATTTGTTCTACTTTTGTTGAGAATTGGCTTCAACAAAATAGCTCTAAAAAAATCCATTCCATCCCTACCTTTAAAAAAGTACATTGTTGGAATTGACAAGATGTAAATAGCCAGATATTTTCCAAAATAGTGGTTGCAGATATAACTTTCAGGTTTCTCATCTGTGCAAAAGCAGACTCCATGCTCCATGGACACTTTTCAATGAGACATTTTTGTTTCATTTTTAAGGGAAGCAGCAATGACTTGGCTCCTAGGAGGTGCATTGCAAAACAGCAAATATCACTACAGCATTCATCTCATTTCCTTTCCTTCTGTGTATGTCTTATTTTATCAGCTCAGCATTTGATTTAGATATACAGGAATTGTAAAGTATCAGCTATGTGAACTATAAAGTCTATACTCAATATGATATCTTCTTTGTCTTTGTGCAAAATTGATAATGTCCCTAATTAGTATGGGACATAAAATAAGTATGTGTACATGACAAGATTTGTTCAGGGTGGGGTTGTAAATGTGGAATGTGCTTGTTTTGTTAATTTGAAGCGTGGGCCTAATACAACACATAACGAAAATAGTTCTTGGTTAGTCATCTCTTAAAAGTGTCAAAAAAAATCAAACCAAAAAAACCCGTGTACGGGTAAGAAATTGAAAAAGGAAACAAACGTTAAAAGGTACACACAAGAACACTTTCTCCCCCTCACCATGAAAAAACCCAACAGTGCTAAAAATACTTTGGTTTAGCCAGAAAAAACCCAAAGCTCAGGAGCTAAGCTTCCGGCGAGCATCTGCCGGGCGCGGCAGTGCCCAGGGACCGCGGCTGCGGCGCGGGGCCAGCCCCGGGGCGGACACGCAGCGGGCGCTGCCCGGCCCCGCGGGAGCCGCCGGGGCGCTCCGGGCCCCGCCTGCCCCCGCTTCTGCACGGGAGGCGCCTCAGCTGCCGCAGAGCTACTCACTCACCTGTTTGCAGTTTCTGTGGGGTGGTAACACATCCGGGCCACTATTGTAAATCCCGCGTTTAAAGATTTTGGTGTAAATCCACCAAAGCCAACATAATAAAATGGAAGGAACTCCCCTTCTCACCTAACTAGGTAACTTCATTTTTGATGTGTTTTTGTTTGTATTTTATTTTACTGGAAAAGGTTAAAGGCACAAATATTATTTAATTATTGAGTTTTACAATTTCTTTAATAAATTAATGATTGCAACCACCTAAGCACTGATAAAAGTCATGAAGTTCAGGGGTTGCCTGTGATTTCATGCCTGCTAACATTTCCCAGTGATTTCTACCCTGAGGAAGGGTGCTTTTACAGACCAATGGTTTTGTCATTCTCTGAAATTGTGGATAAAGCTCAACAAAGGAAACAGAAGTCACTGCCTATAGTGAGCTCACTTACATCTTCCTACTTTTCTACACTTAATTTGTCACTGATTTGTAAGTTCTGGAGAAAACGGAATGTTCTAACAGCTCTGTATTTAGCAAGTATGAGAATTATTCTGTTACCATATGGATCAGTGACCAATGTCTGGTGTTCATGATTTTCTAGTTGTGTTGCTCCACAACATGCAAGTTTATGACTTAGTATATGATGTCCATGAGCTGGAAAGACTCAAAACATATGGCAGATCAGATGTTAGGCTTGGGGAAAATCAAAAATTAAACTGTCTCAGAGCAGTTGAGAGACTGCTTTGCTATATATTTTATGTGATTTGTGTGTGTGTTGAGGGAGATGTCACCTAGGGAAAGGAATCGAAGGAAAAAAATAGCTTTAAAAAATGAACTGTTTGTATTATGGCTTTAAACATTAAAGTCTGGTCAGCTAAAAGCAGATGTTGTGAACTAAGATGGAAACTTGCCTGAGGCCAGAATCAAAGAACACATTCACTAATAGTAAGAAGGAAAAATGCTTTCTGGTTTCAGAATTTATTGTAAGCAAAAAAATGAATCCTTACTGCATGCTTATGCACATTTTCCCACTTTTATTCAGATTACTGAATAAGATTGATGGTTTCAGAATCTAATTTCAGACAATGGGTTCATTATCAATCCTGATTGTATTCTAAGCTCCTTATAAAATCTTTTGTTATTCCGTGCTGTCATATTGGAAGTAGGAATGAAGTGTTTCTCACCTTTGGCTGTCTGCCCGGTAATTAGATGGGGAGGTGGGTTAAAGCATCTAAATGTGTGATATAAAACTTGAAATATTGTAATATGACACAATTCTGATGCAAGTCTTTTAAAAGGAAGAATAAATAAGGGAAAGACAAGAATATACACTGGATAGTAAAAATAAACATAATATTTCTTGCATTGACCTAGGTCTCAATCGACCTGGACTTGCACAACTTGAGTGAACACACATTAAGTAAATACACACAAAGTCTAAGAATTTGAAATGGAAAGTTAAAAATTAATATTTCCAAGAAAGAAAAACAAAAAAAGTTGATTAAATAAAAATTATTTATGTTAAAATCAATAAATATTTGAGAAAATATTCTCCTTTTCATCTATTTATGTATGAGGAATTACATATTTACAGTAACTGCCTCTATAGTATTTGTCATGAAGCTTTGAACCAGCTTAAAATTTAGACTTTGACAGTTGTGCCATTTATTGAAATTTTGCTAGTTCAAAAACTATGCTCTAATGGCAAGTCCAGAATTTTAAGTTGCAGTATTTCAGGGAGGAGCAGGGTAAGAGACCTCATTCTGCATTGTACAAATACTTTGTCATATTGTTTCAATTCATGTAATTTGAAGAATTTTGTTGCACCACTCGAACAGCAAGGAAAAAAAAACCTTATTATTTTCAAAAATCCACTAAAAGGATCAATATTTTTGCTTATTTCTTCCTGCAGGAATAATTTTTTTAACCGAGTTCCTGACTCAGGAATCAGCTGCCTTTTCTAATTTACATCAGGGTTGAAGTGAGTAAGGACTTCTCAAGAGACTAATTCCCCATAAATCCATGCTTGGGCAAGCTCTAAATCCAGCAGCAGTGGAGTGTCTGCACATTCCTCTCTGGCAGTTTTTATGGGGAATTTAGGCCAGTTCTTTCCCATTAGAGGATCTCCGGGTAGGGGGTTTGTCAGCTGCTGGGTCCGGGCCGCCCATCAGAGGGCGGCGGCGGCCGTGGGGCGGGCCGCGGGAGCCGCTGAGGGAGCGCCGGGCGCGCACAGTGCCGGGGGGCGCGGGCGCCATGGCCGCCTCCCGCCGGCCGCGCTGAGGCGGCTGCAGCGCGCGGCCCCCGCGGGCGCCATTTTGCGCGGTGTAAGCGGCGGGAGGCGCCGGGTTCCCGCTCCTCGGTGGAGGGAGCGGAGCCTGGCCGTGAGGGGCCCCAGGGCCGCGCGGGCACGGAGAGCAGCGCAGTGAGCCGGGGGCGCGCTGTGCTTAGCTGAGGTTTGTTTGGGTCAGCACCCTTGAAGGTTGTGGCCTTCACTTTGGGCCCCTGGAGAGAGCACTGTGATGAAATACGTGTACTGAGGAAAGGATTTGATTTAGGAGGAAGGTGAAAAGTAAAGTGGCTTCAAAACTGAGCAAATTCCCTCGTAGTCGGCAGTGTTCGTACTAAGGTGTTTGTTAAAGCAGATACATGAGAGAGGTCCTTGCCCCCAGGATTTGGCAAGCACCTCTCAGTAAATGTGATTCAGTGGTCTGTGCTGCTCACCTACTCCCTCATTCTGCCACCTGGAATATGCATTTTCTCTTTGGAATCCAACCGCACTAAGCGTGTGGAAAAGACACCTTGCTTCCGGCCATCTTGGAAACATTTTGGGCTCCTCCCCACCACTCCCACACCCGCCTTTTTTGTGTTCTTTTTCATTAAAAGTCTGAGAGACTTTTCCCTGTTCCCCAGGTGGAGCAGGTGGGTGAATGCAGAGCTGCATAAAGGACTGTGTTTCTTTTAGATTTCCAGTCTTGTAGAATGACCACGACACCTCCTGTTATTTTTATTTACATTATCAAGCAATTTGGATTAATAGAGCTGGTCAAGGAAAAAATAACACATACAGAGCAGAGCAGGGGCCCGAGAGATCAAACACTGTGCATAACAAAGGCTACTCAATAATGGGAGTAGTAAATCCAGACTATGTAAATGGAAGTAGCATAATCACATTTGACGATTCTCTACCTGAGGTGGAAAAACTATTTCGTACTGGTGTTTTGTATTTGCAGCTCCTTGTAGCTGATGGAGTGGTGGTTATTTACTTGGATAGGCACTAACACAGATTATTACTACTTCAATAACATCTTGATTAGTCCTCACAGATACTTTCTGCTGCCACTACTGATACCAAGCCTGAGCGTTCTTGCTTGAGATTACTGACACTAAAAGCATGGAGGCAAAATTAAACACCTTTGTTAGATTTATCAGTGTGATTTCTAAATTCTATATTTACTAACGTGAAGGGGAAGGTGGCAAGACCTGGCAGTGGGGGAATGGCAGAAATTGGCATAAATGGTACTGCAGATTTACAGTGTGTAAAAGGGACATTGACAGATTTCTTGTTTGAAGTTCTTCATTGTGTTCCCAGATATTTTTGATTGCATCCTCTATATTCTTGTATTGTGAAATGTTTTCTTTTTTAAATTTGAAACCTCTCTGGAATATTTGAAGGTTTATAGATACTGTGAAAGAAAAGTACTTTTAAAATTTTTGATTCACAGCTGACAGTCTACAGTAATTAAACCTAAAGCCTATTTGCAAGGCACTCTTAAAGATCCTTTTCATATATTACTAATTAAATGCTGAAGTACAAAAGAAGTGTCACCTTTGGTTTTGTCTCTGTAGATAAAGAAGAAAGCTTTGCTTTGTTATTTTACCCCCAGAGTTGGCCTTTATTGAACTCCATAAACTTAATTTTCCATTTGTTTCAGTGAGTCTCAGATTTTTGACTCATGAAATAATTTGTGTGGTATTTGTTTAGTAAGATCTTTGCTTTTTAAAGTTGTCCTCAAGCAATATTAAGAGCTGTAAAACTTCTCAACAGAAAGGCATGAAGAAGCATTTCTAATGCCTACAGAATGAAAAACACTGAAATTAGGTGGAGTATTTTTAATACTGGTGTATACAATAAATAATTTAGAAATAATCTCTGGTCCTGATGTTTCAGAACAAACCTGTTAACATCTTTAAGGTGTTGGGCCCATACTCCAATTATCCAGGTAAGCAATTTGCATGTATGTTTAAAAAAGTCTAATTTGCTTGTAAGTTAAAATAACTGTTGGGCTAGCAGTATAATTCTATTTTTTTAGATAACAGTATAATTTTGTTTTGCAAAAACTTGACAGATTGTGGTAGTAACAAAACAATTGGAAAAAAAAATATTGGCTGCAGTTGTGTAAAATAATCACAGAATATGCTGGGTTGGAAGGGACTCAAGGATCATCAAGTCCAACTCCTGGCCCTGCACAGGACACCCCAAGAGTCGCACCCTGTGCCTGAGAGCATTGTCCAAGTGCTTCTTGACCTCTGTCAGACTTAGGGCTGTGACCTCTGCCCTGGGGGTTCTAGTGCCCAGCCACTCTCTGGAGGAAGAACCCTTTTCTAATGTCCATCCTAAACCACCCCGACACAGTTTCAGACCACTCTCTTGGGTCACTGGTCACCTCATCAGTGCCTGGCCATCTCTTCCCCTCAGGAGGAAGTTGATGAATGTGGTGTGTCTTCTCAGTCTTCTCTTCTCTAGCCATCACTAGGCTGAATTTTAGCATTGTTCTTAGAATTTAAATGCTTTATCATAAAATTTATCTGGATCTTCACTCCTACCCACTTTTTCTTCCCAGATATGTCATGGTAGTAAAGGTTGCTTCAAGTGCTGTCCTATAGGGCTTTTTTAGCAGAAGCAATAGGAACCATATTTTATCAGGAGACAGATTCACTGTTTGAAGATGGATTAAGAATGCAGTCAAGAGCTCTAAAACAAAATAATATAGAAATTAAATATTGGCACTCACAACTAATAAACTTTGTATTGCTTTAGACAGGTTCCAGTCTAGTAATTTCAGTTTTACATTTTCTTGTGCTGCCCTTTGCAGACTAAGAGACTTCACATTTGATCTGAAAATGTTCAACTCTGCAGACATGGTCTTTTCACTGGATAATTTATTTTATGAAAAACCAGATATGAGACAAAGGTAAATCTTTATTATTAGGTATATATCACTGTTTTCCAAATGGAATAATTTTGCAGCAGTACTTTTTCTTATGATTCACTGTTTCATCCACTGATGGAAATCTGAGGCTAGAAATTTCTGGTTCCATAATCCATACTTTGAAATGTTTCTCCAAGCACATTCAGTGATGCAGATGAATCTTAGGTCTATACGAAATAAGGGGTAGCAGAAGTTTTGCCTCTGTAATTTTGTTGTTAGAAGTCACATGAACTGAAGAACAAGAATATGTTTTAGCAAGAGAAACAATAGGTTATTTATGACTAGTGATTTTGAGTTAGTTATTGTGGAGGGTGCTTAAAAATGCTTTTACCTCACATTTGTGTGTTAAAAATAGGTGTCTGGAAAATGAAGATCATAAGACTTGGTTTATTGCACCTGCTCCAGCTATTGCTGAAATTCCAGCTGCAGAGGAATTACAGAGGGAACTGGAAAAAAACTCAGCCAACACTCCCATGGGTAGAGTATCATAGAATAGAATCACAGAATCATTGCAGCGGTTGGAAAAGACATTTAGAATGATCAAGTCCACCCCTAAACCTAACATTGCAAAGTTCAACTAATGTTGGGCAATATCAGGTGTTACTTGACATTGATTTTAAATTACTCAACAAATAATTAGTGTGACAGATCATTCCTCTTTTGCTGTGAAAAATGAAATATTCTAGGTATGCAAGTAGAGACAATGTATTTGAGTTGAGAATGATGGTGTTAGATGTGCCAGGAGCATAGCAGTCCTCTTTAGGCATATACATGCCACAAGTTTACTGTGCAGAAATGTACAAGGTGAGAAGTATAATCAAAATTTCAGTTACTGCACATTGTTTCATGAAGCATTGTAACGCAGTGGGAAGTGCTGTAAGAGCATAACGTTGTCATGTGGATCTTATGGCCTGTCTGCCACTCAAGGAGCAGAGAGTTTATATGAAACACACTTTTTTCTTCCCCCTTTTGGAGCTTTAATCAAATTGTTCAGGCGGCCAAATTTGAATTTGGTCATTAATTGCTGCTAAGTGGCGTATTCCTAGACATTCAGGATTATCTTAATGAACTGTATTTTAAACAATGTCATTGCTTTATCTTTGTCAGCTAGATTTGTGCATTTCTTAGATGTCGTGCTGATTTATAATATTATCTATTTAGGAATTATAGTAAAGAAGGTGGATTTTTTTCTGCTTTATGCAAGAATAATGCCATTAAGAGCTATTACTCAAATAAGGTTTTGATGTTTGTAGAATTAGAATTGTTTGGGTTATATCACAAACAGGGCATTGTAATTTTGAGTTTCTGGTGGATAACACTGAAATTAAGACATCAAAATAGAGCTGTTGTTATCTTGTTGCATTTAGTTGTGTATTTCTGTTTGTGCCTTTCCCTTCTGTTGCCAACAGCAATGCTTGTTGATCTGGCCAGCCAGATCAGGACACTGATTCTACTGAGAATTAACCCTGCAAAATGTGATAATTAACCAAGAAGGTTATGAAACCAGCCTGTCACCAACATCAGTACCAGTTCTGACTGTAGAGATTGCAGTGTTTATCTCAGCTGTTTGTAGCAGGAACTTCAAACTTGGTCATTGTGTCATTTTTTTTAAAGACCATCTTTATTCTGAGACGGAGTGAAGAGTTCTGTCATACAAACTTTTTTTTAGTTTTGGAGAATAGTTTTTATCCTTTACTTTGCATAGGAAGGAAAGGGACCTTACTTTTACAACTTTTAAATTGACAACACATGCATTACATTCATTAGCATAAGTTATAAAATACATGCTAAAGTTCTTGCAGTAAGATAGAAATATCAGTTTGTATAATAGATGTAAATTTGGCTGATTCTGTGTGAAAGATACTTGATTAAATTACTGTGAATAAGAATATGAATATTAATGAAATAATAATTTATAGTTTTTGTAGGAGGGAGAAAGCAGGAGAAGTTTATACAACAATGTAAGAGTAAGACAGAGAAAGCAGAAGATAAATCATCAGCACCTGTTCATTTTGGTATAGCCCCTGAAAAAGAAGTTCTACAATTAAGTCTAGGAGAAAGAGATAAAATTAGTGCTCAGCGTGAAAATCTGAAAGTGGTTTCATCTTTTCTTTCCTTTGATGAAAATAAAAGAGTAGTAGATTTTTCTCAGCAATGGCAAAATAAAGCATTCAGTGAAAACAGTGATGATGAGAGTGTCCATTCAACATTAAGAAAAAGGTATGTGTCCAGTCAACTCAGGCAATTTATCACTGTCAGAATCATGTTATTATTTTAGATAAATCTGTTGAACACAAAGCTTGGGATCCTTCAATTGCAGCTACTTTAGTAGGCTCCAGATGCTAATTCTTTCGGTATAAGGAAAAGGTATAAGTTTCATTTTGGCAATATTTTAGTACTTCAATTAGATGTGAGTCCTGAGTCCTTTAGTACTTTAATTAAATGTAAGTCCTGAGCTCAGCATCATTCATGAGAAAAGTTAGCATCAGTTTGTTGCTTCAATTTTAAATAAAATTTTAGATAACAAAGCTTTTGGAAAATACTGCTCTGAATTCTTTATCTGCATGGTGACAAGGAAAAAGGCTGAGATCATTTGCTTTGCTGAGCAGAGGCCAGCCAGTCAGGAATACCTTGAGCAGTTCTGAGTGTGATTTCAGTGCTGCCTGGGAGGAGAGGTTTTATCAGTAAACTGCTCTTCTATGTCCAGCCCCTCCCATTCCTCAGAAACTGGATGTCTCTATTGGTTTTAATGATGCAGAAATTCAGCATTAACATACTATTAGGAGTCAGAGCCCATCTGGACAGGCAGTTTATTCTTTCATGGTCTTTCTGGAATAAAAGTGAAATTAAAATGTATCTTGAAAGGAGTCTTTAGGTCAGATTACATGAAGTTAGATACAATTTTATTATTTTTCTTACTAGTTCTACTGCTAATACAAATGTATATCTAGTATTTTTTAAATATTAGATAAACTTTAACATTACAACAAGTTAATGAAAACTCTGGATCTTTTGCAGCTTATTTAAAAAGTCTGGCAATGTGCATAAAAATACAGAATTTAAAGCTGGTTCTGTTGATGTGAAAGAAATTGGTACTTACTTAAATACAAGTGAAAACATGAAAGAGGTGACAAAAGAAGGTTTTTTGAGAAATCACCATCATGCTCCAATAACTAGAGACTCAGATTTAACTTTGCATAGCGTAAATAATGAAGAGAGTCTGTCTCAAAATGGAATTAAAATTCAATCATTTTCTAATGCTTCAGAGATTTTGGATATGACAGGTAATTATCTTTACTCTATTTCAAGAAAAATAGTCCATTGTCCTGTCTTTGGTATACAATAATAAAGGGTATCCAAGATTTGAGGTAGAGTGAAGAACATTTTCCCACCAGCTCAAGGTGAGATAATTGGCTAAAATTGATACAATGTATTGCAGTTCTGTGAAACTTAATTGCATTGTTGTTTAATATGAACTAGCTAAACAATTTATGAAAAAGATTCACATTTTCAGAAGTGCTAAGTCGTGTAAACCTGCTTGAAAATGTCATTTCACATCCCCTCAGCAATTTGAAAAAAACCAGCCTTGTCCCTTTGTGTGGTAAAGAGTTTAATCTTCATTTAAAAAACAGAAATTGAAAATGAAATTTTTATTTGTGGTGTTGCTTATATTTGTGTCTTTGTAGAAATAGAATTTAAGTAGGAGATACCTAGAAAATGGAGGGAAGTGGTAAGATTTTGATGAAATTATAAAATATGTGGTTTATAAATTATTTTTGCCTTTTAATAGTTTTTAAGTGCAGTTTATGTCTAGATTTTAAACTTTTTGGGACATGACACATCTGTGGAAGGTACCTTGTGTGCTTGACTACTAATGATATGGGGAGCAGAAAATTAGTTCTAGCAGAAAAATGTATGGTAGAGCAGTGGGATGGGATTTGGAAACGGGTCAGGAATGAAAAGCGTGCTTTGTCTGATTGCCATATGAGCAGTGGTGGTTCCATTTGTGGGTGAGGGGACAGCAGTGGCTACTGTTCACTTTGCCTTCAGCGAGGGTTTTTTATACCACACAGTGGTTGAGAAACACCTTCTTCCACAGCATTCTGGTACCCACGCAGGGCACTAGGAGTGGATCAACGACTGCCTGGTGTAAAAGTGGTTGGCCAGGCTCAAAGGGTGGTGGTGAATGGGTCACAATGCCCACGTGCCAGCAGCAAGGGGAGTACTGCAGGGGACTGCCCTACAGGAGGGGGCTGACAGCAGTCCCAGGAAATTCAGCAGGAGCAAATCCACACTCCTGCCCCAGGGAAAGAGAAGAGCCCCTGGGGTTCCTCTGGGATGGTTTGACTGAGGGCAGCTCATGGAAAAGTGCCCAGGGTCTGGCGAGCAGCTTGCTGACCTTGAGTGAGCAGTGTGTCCCAGCAGTAACAAAGGCCAGCAGCATCCTGGGCGTTGTTAACAAAGCTAGGAAGTTTAGAGAAGTGATTATCCTTTTCTTGGTAGAGAAGTGATTATCCTTTTCTTGGTACTTCTGAGACCACAACTAGATACTGCATCAAGTTTTGAGTCTCTGGTACATGCAAGATATTCCTAAACTGGAGTGAGTTCATCAAAGAGCCACCACTGTGGCCTTTTTAAATGATGAGCTAGTGACGTCCCTGTCCTATCCCATCTTCTCCTTTCTATCACCTGGACCTTGTTGCAGACTTGAAGCTCCTTACAGAACATACAGCTTGGGGTCAGGAAGATACTTTTCACAGTTATTGGTTGAAAATTAATCTGATTTTATAAATGTTCTATTTTTACTTCTTTAGGAACTACAGGAAGAAAATTGGAAATTTTGAGGGCTGTTACAGAAATACGTATCCTTGTATTTGCTGGATCTGATTTTCCTGGTTTTATTACAGTGCTTTTACATTTGCAAAATTATAGTGTTTAATTTGTAGCCATAGGAATTAATGCATTATAGTGTAATAGTTTCAATTTGTAGCACAATGCTGGGAATCAAATGTTCAATAGGTGTTTATCCTTTTGACTTCCAAAGCAAGAATGAAAATAAGACAACTTGTAGATTATTCATTCCTAAGAAAGCTTATTCTTATTTCAAACATTCAAATTTTATCCTCAAAACTTTTATTTTTAAAATATTGAATGTAAAATTATAGTTTGCATAATATGTATTTCAGACATTTTCTATAAAAACACACATATATACATATATCTCCATATGCTTTAAATAAAGGAAAAGTAAATTATTATTTAGGCTTATTAGGAAAACTGAGTCTTACTTTCTGTCTCATTTTCTTAAAAGAAAATTAACGTATTCCTTGTTGGTCTGTACCCATGTTGTAGTGTGCCTACACTGTGTTTCCATTCTTTAACCAGATTTTATCATAATTTTCTTTCTTCTTGGCCCTGCCTTGACCATGAAATATAATCAAGCATTCATCTATATCTACCAAACTTCTGGATTTTTTTACACACTCTTTTCAATATTTGGTTCTAGGAACCTGTCAAATGGTTAAATATTGGGAAGAGGAAATTTCTGAATTTAGGCACCTTAAATTCATGTAAATATCTTTAAAAAGTCACAATTTTTAAAATTAGTAAGGATTCCATTGTTGTGAATTTACCAATTAAGGATTATTAATGCTTTGTAGTTTGAAAACAAATCAGTTATTTAGAGGAGGGAATTTAAATAAGTTTTTTTAAAATCCTTATTTTCTTTTGTCTAATGTTATTTGCTTTTCTTTACCAATTTTTAACTGCTTTTATTTCTTGTTTTACTCCTGTATCTTTTCCTTTTTCGTCTTTTAACGTGACATGGATCTGAGGCCTTGGCAGTTCATTGTTCCTGCTGCTGTCAGTGTCACACCTGACTGTGTGCTCACCCTGAGCCTGAGGAGATGGCCACAGTCAGGCTGTTGTGTGGCTGCTCCGCCCTGCAGACAGGGATCAGCTCACTGCTCTGGAGCTGTAACCTAACAGTTAAACAGTTAAAGTGTTCCCTTTCCATCTCCCGTGTATTTCAGAAAACAATGCTGTCTGAAGAACACACTATTGGCGACTGAAAAATATCTTTAAAACCACTTTAAAAGTGATCATAGGTGAATTTTTTTGCTACTGTTATGTCTGGGCATACAGTATTATGCTAAATAATTTATGTTGTATTACAAATATTATGTGATCACTGACACCTTAGGCTAACAGTAATGTTCTGCTTGTTCGTGTATCTGGGTTGTCCCTTGCAGCTTCAGATTCCATAACTGTCTGCCATTCCATGAAGCCTATGCCAGGGAGGAGGTTCTCGATCATTGGTATAGTTCTCAGGCCTCTCAAATAGGTTGTGGTTACGGAATATAGGGCACACCAAGAATCTAAAACTACTGAATCATTTAATAGGTTACTTTTAGATAACTTTTTACAAGCCTGTGTGATATTGTGGTATGTTTTAAGTTTGCATTTAGATTGCAAGGACATTTACATTCCTACAATTGTATAATTTATGCTTTAGTATTTTAAATTCCTTAATGCTCTCAAGCAACCCAATTTAGAAGTATTTTTAAGGAGTTCCCATATTTTAACTATGCACAGTCAAAAGCTTTGGATGATGTAAGTATGGAACATAAACTGCAGCTACAAGTAGTACTTTGTAGATAAATTTAAGTGATACTTTGATATTCAGAGCATAAAATGAATTAGAAAAGTATAATATATCTAGAACCTCTTCCTGGAATAGTTTATTAGGGTTGTGCTTGGCTAGGAGAAGAGACCAGAAGAACTTTAAAAAGTGTTTTTCTCAGTTTAGAATATGTTTGTGTGAAGATGAGAATTGTATTTATGAATAGAGATTGGTAGTATATTTGCATGGAGGAGGAAGGGTGGATGAGTGAGTGAGTGATATGGTTGAGTAACACTGCAGAGGAGGAAAGAGGGAGGAATCAGTCTTGTCAGAGGAAAATGAGGGAGCTTGACATAGACATACCTGGCTTCTAAGAAGGTGGAGGATAAAATGTGTGGGAAGGAAGCAGAGTTATACAAACCTTTCATTTGCCATTATAGAAAACTTAACAGGACCTGGCAATTCTTTCCTAGCTTTTATATACAGATAGGAACTTTGTGATTTGTGCTCCAACTGGCTCTGGAAAGACTGTAATGTTCGAACTAGCTATTACCAGATTACTAATGGAAGCTCCACTGCCTTGGTTAAATATTAAAGTTGTTTACAGTAAGTATTATACAGCTTTAAACATTTTGGTGATAGAACAAAAAATGTCATTCTGGGAATGCAGAGATCTGGAATGAGTCCATGAATAATATTAAGATTAAATACTTTAAGATATTACAACCTGCTTCATTCTTTAAAAAGTTGATTTAGTGTTTATTTATGGTACCATTGTAACTATTATTAGTATTTAACAGTACTGTGTAATTGTAGTGTTCAGCATTGCCTATAAAAATAAAATACAGAAAATCCTGTAGAAGCTTGTCCTCCAAGAAGGTAAGATGTACACAAAAAGGTAAGGAGGAAGCAAAGGAAACTAAAACAATTATTGGTGCATAGTTTCTGGCTAACATTATCTTTTGTATGGCTGGCTATGGCTCTGAGATGAGGATCAAATTTTCCAGTGTTCACTTACCTCGCAAAGTTTCCTGTTATTTTCTGGATACTACCTCAGAGGCACAAGAACTGTGATCTTCATGGATTTAACTGATCTGTGTAGAATTATGAAAATAATTGGAGATAGTCACACCAGTTACACTTTTTTTCTTTCCTTCCTGGAAAACTGAGTTAATATTTGTAAATTTAATTAAATTGGTGATTTTGTCCCAGTTTTAATTTATTTGTACACTGATATGTTTGTCAGCCTTTCTATTAGAGGTTTCATCCTTTACAAAAGCTTCATATTGTTTTTTTATTCCATTTTGTTCAACTTCTTACAATAAAGCTAGTGTTGCTTTAGAGTTCACTGTGTATTGTAAACTGATCTTAGAAGCAGACATGTGCTACAGGTTCTTTGTCAGCTGGACCAGGCTGAGTGCATGGTAATAGTTTCCACTTGCCTTGTTAGAATTGCTACAACTTGGTTGGTTGGAACTGTCAGTAAGGAGACAGTTACCTGCTAGTGGAGTTAAATCTGCTGACCTTCCCAGATTACATAATGATGGAGAAGGAGACTTGTCAGTTTTCTGAATGTTGGAACAGAGGTGGTAATCCTGCTGGTGTGAGCTCTGTTGCCTGGTTCATCTGTGGCCCCATATATGTGAATTAGTTCTGCGGAGTTGTTTTCCAGTAGCTTTACCTCAAAGAACTGGTGACTGCAGTTCCAGGAGCAATCACTTGCTTCTCACATTCTTGTATTGCTAAAGATGATTAGCTTTGTGATTTTGTGAATTACTTGCTGGTAGCTGCATCAGTTTTCTGGAGCTAATTATTTCTCTGATACTCTTCTGCAATTTTACACCTCTTTCTGAAGCTGAGACTTTAAAGCGTGAAGCAGGTTCTTTAAATCTTGAAGTTTTAGAGATAATTTGTGAGCTAATATGCAGAAATCATTCACATTCTAGTGCCTCTAACTAACCTAGAATGTAATCACTGCAAGATCTATTATACTAGGATTGTTTAGGTGTCATGCATAGATTGCCTCTTTCACTTAAATCACTGCATTTTCTATATAGATTTATCATCTAGTATAGCCTTATGTGTATTGTTAATACCAGTCCTTATTGAGAATGACATCTGATTTCTGGGGAAAAAAGAGTCTGTAAAAGACAGTGTGTACTCTCAGAAAGAAAAAGAAAAAAAAAAAAAAAAAAAAAGAGTAGATTGTTTTAGGCCTCAGTTCATGAGAACCAGCATAAAAACTGCTACCTGCTCTATTAGCTGCTTCTTATGACCCTACACTTAACTGTACATTTGATTTTGATAGAATACCAGAAGAAATAAGAGTCTGTCTCTTGCTCTTGGACAGTTTCTCACTTATACTTTGCTCTCTGAATACAGAGTACTCAAATCATTCTTAACTGGGAAAAGGTTGTTATTTATATGATCTTTCATTAGAAAATATGTATTTCCTGTGGTTTCTTTCATCTGTGAGAAAATCTTTGATAGTTGAATGATTGTTTCCATGTGGTACTGCAAAGAAAATCAAACCCAACAGGATGAAGGATTAAGAAAGAGCATAAATAAACTTAATTAAAGGGTTCTGTTCCTGCTTGCTGATGGAAAGAACTAAGGGCCCAAAGCTCAACATGGATTGTGCACATGGAGTAGAATAATGAGAACGGTAACACCAGCTACAGATTTTATGGTTCTGGAAGCAAAGCTGAAAATGAGGGAAATAAATTAACTTCAAGAAAGCATCTTTCTAAATAAACTAAATGCATACATTTCTAATACAGCTGAAGATTTGGTTTTCCTGATTTAATTTTCATTATTTGGTATTGTTTTTAGTGGCTCCAATAAAAGCTCTATGTAGTCAGCGTTTTGATGACTGGAAAGAAAAATTTGGACCTATAGGACTCACCTGCAAGGAGTTGACAGGAGATACACTGATGGATGATTTATTTGAAATACATCATGCTGACATTATTATCACTACACCTGTAGGTTTCATTCCCAGTTCTTACAAGAACTTAGAATAAACAGACATTAGCAGTCTTCTAATTGTATGCTGCAAGGACTGCTCTTTTTTTTTTTTTTTTGGTAATAGTGCACAGTGATTTTATGATGCTTTTGTTTCTCTGCACACTGCTGTGCACACTCTCAATTAATATAAACAAAAGTTAGTAATATAATAATGTGCCAGATTAAACATAGATGGCATTAGCTTGAATTAATTTTATTGTTTCTGTTTAAAGATTTATGAAGTTTAGGCATGTCTCTATGTACTATAGTTGTGGTATGTGTTGGCATTTAAAACATCTTTCAGGTGCTGTTGTTGTTCTCATGTGTTTGTTTTTTCCTCCAAGGAAAAGTGGGATAGCATGACTAGAAGGTGGAGAGACAACTCTATAGTCCAGCTTGTGCGACTGTTTCTCATTGATGAGGTAAGAAAACGAATGAGGATTTATTCAGTGCTTTTGTATCTTTTGTGAAGATAAAAGGAACCTTAGAAAATATTACATGTATTTAGCACATGTCCAGACTGTAACTGGAAAATATTTAGCACATCTTTTAAAATTCCTGATAGGTACACGTTATAAAGGATGAAAGCCGCGGTGCAACTTTGGAAGTTGTAGTCAGTCGGATGAAAACTATTCAGTCTTCTCTTTGGCGTCTCTTAGAGAAGCATGACACTGTTCCTCCCTTGAGATTTGTAGCTGTTTCTGCAACAATCCCAAATACTCAAGATGTAAGAGTTACATTTTAACTGTATTTTGATCAATGGAGTTGTGTTTTAAAAAAATTGTCTGGAATTACAATTTTAGATTGATAGCAAAATAGTAATTTTTAAGCTGTCATCTGAGGACAGTTATGAGGCTGCTGCTAATTTAAGATTACCATCAGCCTTATGGAAATGTCAGCCATGAATGGACATTCTTCAGTTTTAGATTTCTCCTTGTGATTTTTGCCTCTTACATACAAATCACAACAGATCTGAGATTTCAGTCCAAATTATATTGGTCCTGCAAAAAGCAGAACCTCACCTGTGATTTTAAATTATAAAAAAATGTGTTAGTAGTTTGCACGTGACAAAAGCTAAGTTAATTATTCTGTGATGCTATTAGAGCTGGAGTACAATTAAAATAAATGTATCTTTTCTGTTCTACTTTTTTTTTAAAGATTGCAGAATGGCTTTCGGATAGTAAGATGCCTGCTGTATGCCTGAAAATAGATGAGGATCAACGACCAGTGAAGCTACGCAAAATTGTGCTTGGTTTTCCTTGCAGTGACAATCAGACAGAATTCAAATTTGACTTAACTCTTAACTACAAGATAGCTAGCATTATACAAACATACTCAGAGCAAAAACCAGCACTTGTGGTACAACAGCTTTTTGGCTTTTTTTATCATGTTTAAAATTGTTTCTTTCTTAAAAGTGTTGATTCAAAAAATACCTTTTATTTGTAGTTTTGTGCCACAAGAAAAGGAGTACAGCAGGCTGCTTCTGTTCTTGCAAAAGATGCTAAATTTCTACTGAGTATAGAACAGAAACAAAGGTATTTTTCTATTCAAATAGGAAGTAAGTGTTTGTACATTTTAGTAAACCTGTGATATCTGTGAAGAAAGCTGTTGAGCTAATACAATTTCTAGCAGAGGAGCATGGAATAAAATCATCATCCCAGTTGACATTCTTTTTGGTAAATTGGCAGTCTTCTTGGGAGGTTTTATTTGCTTCTCAGAGTTTTAGGATACCTTGCACAAACATTAAGTTGTTTCTCAAAGGTGCTTTCTAAAAGAAAAATGCTAATTCTTATGGCCCTCTGAGACCTTGTAGTGCAAATATTAAGCATATGAATAGTTGAATTGGATGTGACTTTACTAGTATTTTAAGTTTTCTTTACTTTATCAGATCCTGTTATTAAATGCAGCCATATTAATTATTATTTACTTCAGGGTTGCCTAGTCATGGCAGCTGCAGAAGCTACTCCTGACTTTGTGTTTGCTTTATGTGAACAACATATAAAGATTGTTGTTTGTCACTTGGAAAGGTGACCAGGCTTGAAAAGCTGCAATAGCTGCCCCAGAGAGTCAGTCTGTTATTTCTGTGAGGATGGGAAATGTGGTGGTTGAAAATAATCAAAGAATGTATATTTTTAAATTTTCTTTTTCTTTGTTGTTGTTTGTGTGTGTTGCATAGATTACAGGGGTTTGCAAATTCATTGAAAGACTCCAAACTGAGAGGTAAATATAACCTACAACTTCTCTGCTCCGTGATTGAATATTTGCTTGAGAAAGCCTAGTTAAATGATGTATATAATAATTTCATTATCAGACCTTTTGACATATGGTGTGGCTTATCATCATGCGGGTATGGAGTTATCGGACAGAAAAATAATTGAAGGCGCTTTTACTGCAGGAGACTTGCCAGTACTTTGTAAGTGAAATTAACTTTGAAAGTCAAAATTTCATTTATGTATCCTGAGAAGACTGCAGTTTGGAAGTAATATTTTATGGTTCTGTAGTTTGCTTAACCTTTGGAAGTTGTGAAATCCAGGTAAGGTGTTTTTGTGTTTCACATGTACTTTCACCCTGTGAGCCTACATATGCACTGTTACTAAGGAGAATGGAACTTCTTTTCACCACACATGGAGGTCATCCCCCTTCTATGTACATATAGGGTCTGGCCTTTTCCTACCATTGAACCCTCCCATTGAGGTGGAGTTCTGTGCTAGTGAATCTTTCCTCTGAGTTTCCAAGATGTTTTCTTTGTCTGTTTTCTTTGCACCTGTGGCTTCCCTGAAGGCAATCGTCTACATTTATGCCTCTTAGGTGGGCAGGAGGCTATTTTCAAACTCCATGTAAAGTGGTGTGACTGGGGAGGTCCTTAAGAAATATTCCATCTGTTGTTACATAAAATGTGAAGGGATCTAAGATGTGATTGTCTCATCTCATCCAGGCTTTCTCTTTCTGTAAAAGAAAGATCCAGACCCTATGGGGAGCTGTCTGTGCAGTTCATGTACAACACTAAATGATTTGTGGATTTTTTTCTTTTGTGTTACAATGGTCATAAGAAAAAATAATATAATTACTGATTTTAATTTTCATTTCAAAAAGAATTGGAAATTTCAATAATCCTTTGTTTTCCTAGCAGAATAGGAAGTATCAGTTGGCCCATACGACTGGCTTTCTCTGTTGAATTCTTGCTGCTCCATATATTCTTTAGAGAGAGTGAATTAGGAATCATGAATGTAAGATTACTTGCCACATACTTGACTGATGTTTTCCATGTGAGAGTGTGTACTGGTAAAGTGTGATGATTGTATTGGTGGTGATTCTGGTTTGGTATCATGGATATAAACAATGTTAATGACTGATGACTTTAAAAATATATCTTAATATTGACCACTACAAAGCAAGATGAAGCCATGGCTCTATTCAAATACATAACCTGGAAGAAACAAGAGTAAGGTTTCTTCATTGTGTGTCTGTTATATTGAACAGGAATCGTATTCTGGATTATCTCCAAGTATAAAGGATAAAGTATCTGGGATGTAATTTAGTAAAAAATATGAGAACAAATGAATGCTGATGATCAGATAAACAGAAACTGTTATGCAAGTACTTGTCTGTAATCTACATCAAATTCTTTGTGGTGCAAAATGACCACTGATTCCACTAGAAACTAAGAACTCTTAGGTATCAAGAATTAAGTTACCTATTTGCTGCTTATTTAGTATCTGCTAGACATTTTGATGGTGTTCATATACTTTGATCCAACATAGTTACTACTAGCACCTTAGCTATGGGAGTCAACCTGCCTGCACACCTCGTGGTTATAAAATCCACAATGCATTATGTTGGAGGAGTGTTTCAAGAGTACAGTGAAACTGATATTCTGCAAATGATTGGGAGAGCTGGAAGGCCTCAGGTAAGTGAATGTTTTATTGTATTGATACTGTCTATAGCCAGATTAGTAGAAGCTATTTTTGCTGAAGAAAGTGCAATGCCAGGAATTTACTGCAGCATTTGTTTTTTAAAGGCTTATTAATACTTAAATTACTTCTAGGTAACTTTTATTTTGAGAAAAAAATGTATTTGTTTTTGTATTGTCCATCAAAAATTACTGCTTCACCTTGCAGTGGGAAAAGATCTGAAGATTACATTTGAGTTATGTAGTGAATGGGGATTAGAGAGTAGGAAACTGGCATACAATACTCATTTCAGGCAGGAATTTTAAGGAAAGAGTTTTAGTGGATTAAGGTATGTGATGCATATTCAACTGTTTGGGGTTTTTTTAAGAAGTAAAGAGCAGCTTTTATTTGGGGTTTTATTTTTCAGTTTGACACTACCGCTACAGCAGTCATTATGACTCGTTGCAGTACCAGGGCGAGATATATACAGATGTTAAATGGTGCTGATATAATAGAGAGCAGGTAACTAAGTATTTTTTATAAGACTCTGTAGATAGTAGCTAAACTTCATAGTTTCTACAGAATGTGGGTTTTTTTCACATGGGTTTTGGGCTATTTCTTTGGTCTGCTTAGAAGAAATCAAGAAAGAATTAAGGAAAATAAAGCTGTTCAGTAGTTAATGGTCTCTTGTTTTATCAGCCAAAACAATCTTTAGGACATCTTAAACTCAAAAAAAAAAAAAACAGTTTTAGATTCCTGCTGGAAAACTGAGGAAGCTGAAAGAGCATTTATTGCAAAGACAAAAAGCAGGAATTGAATGCAGTCCATGTGTCTGAATTTCTTGATGATTGAGCCTGGAAAATACTAGACCTATATTTGTTGTTAACAGATTATCATGAGAAATATGTAGCAAAGTTAGGACATTAAAAGGTAAAATAAGAAATTTTACTCATGTAATTTTGGTAACATTTAATTTTTCAAATATATTTAAAATATCAACAGCACAGAATGTCTGTGCTGTAATTTTTAAATTTATGTACCAATTCTTCCTAGTAAATGTGGAACTTCGCAGTTGACAGTTTATTTTTGCTAGCTAGGCATTATGCCATAACAACCCAATTACATTGCTGATTACTTACATAATCTTTATTCTATCAATTTCACTGATCACAGGGAACAGCTGCAGTTTGGGGGAAGGGATTTGTTTGATTTTGTTTCTTCCCAGAAATTAGTTTTAACACTTTTTATATTGCTCATTGGTAAATGTCCTTAACTCTTGTTTTTTTGCACTAGCTTGCACAGGCACCTTGTTGAACACTTAAATGCTGAAATAGTGCTGCATACTGTCACGGATGTCAGTGTAGCTTTGGAATGGATACGATCAACATTTTTGTACATTAGAGCCTTAAAAAATCCAACTCATTATGGTTTGTTTGGCTTTATTTTTTTAATTCATCTAACTATGGTGTTAGGATGTGTTATGTCCATATTACTTTATTCTATCATTTTCTTATGGACTATAATTTCATAATGTTATAAAAACCAAGATGTGCAATGTGGCCAGTAACATATTGTTCTTTAACATAAGTAGTGGGAGTTTCAGCATTGTGTAACATTTAAAAACTGTGAAGAAGCCGTTTACAGCTTCATAATCAATTTCTTTTTATCTTAATATGCTGGACCATATATTAATACAGTATCAGCCATAATATATTTTGCACTGCTGAATATGTAATCTGCTAAGAAAAATAATAGTCTCGTATTTCACAGTTTTTTCTAGAATAAAATACTAGTTATCTTAGTTCCAATGTCTTCAGTTTGTCTTGTCCAGAACATTACCCCAGTCCCCTGCCCTGACCATATCTATGTTCCTGCCCACTTAATCGATGCCTGATTTTGAAGTCATTGGGTAATTGCTGGAGACAATTTTTTGTAAGGATTTATAGCTGGAACATAGCACATCTAGTACTTCAATGGATGCTACAATTCAGGTGGTTCCTGTATTTCAAAATAAGAAAACTATACCTGGAAGTTTCTACTGACATTTCTGAAACTTTTAGGACTCTGATATTTTATATGGGAGAATGTCTGCAGCTTTTACCTTTGTACATCTGTTCTAGCAGCCTCTTACTGATACTTAGCTAGTTACATACTGTAAGACTTCTGACTTGTTTGCAGTATAATAAATATTCCCACATTTTTTTGACTTTGGGGTATTTGTCTGCCTCTTAAAAATCAGCAAATCAGTTTTAATGGGTAAAGAAATTAAGGAGAAAGTCTATGGTAGTACTAAGTTAAAACAGTTTTTATATTTGCTATGAAGGTTTTTCATCTGGATTAGATAAAGTTGGAATTGAAGCAAAATTACAAGGTAAGTGGCTTCTTAGCTTTTTTCAGTAAAATGCTACAATTTAGGGCAGGTTCACCCATGTTTTTTATCTATATCCATTAATTTCAATAGATCCATTTGCAAAACCAATATATTTTAGTGTTATTAATTTTATTTTGTTATTAATATTTTTTAAATACTGTCAGTACATTTTAACTGGTAGAAACATTTTTCTTGTGTAGTGGAAAACCAGTAAATGCCTTTACCCAACTCATTTCCATATACGTGCTCAGAAATGCTCACCTCATTTCCATAAACATGCTCAGAACACTTTAATTTTGATTGCTTGTCATTCTTCCTAATTTTCCTTTCATTGATCTCACTTGCTTTCATTAATTTATGCTACTATACTTTCAAAAAAGTTCTTTTCAGAAAATGTCATCTTCCATTCATAAATTTAGCCTTGAAAACAAAGGATATAAAATGTAAACTTCTTTGCCTTGTCCAGAAACAATTTAAAATTGCATGGGTTTAAGAGGCTTTTATTGCTAAGACTTGAATAAAATGCAGTTATTAACCTTTTTTTTTTTTAAATACTGCATTTTAGCTATTTGTAATTCATTAGAAATAGAGCTGACAAAATAGTTTGGGAATTGGTGTCTATTAACTTTAAACACAGAAATAGCATACAACTCTTCAGGTGGTTTTGTTTTGTTAATTTATTTTAATGTAAGTTTTCTGGTACTTTAAATGTTGGTATATTTATAAAAGAGTACTTGCTGTCAAGTTCTGTAAATCTACAAGTACCATTTTCTTTCTTTGGTGAAAGTCCTCATATCCATCCAGACCATTTGGAGCTAAAATATCTGGAGGAGGGTCTGGTCTGTGAAAACATGGACAGATAAAATGCCTAGAAATTTGTAGAGCTTGTACTTGGAGTCCACTTACTCATTTTTTACATAATTGTGTAGGAAACATTTGTGATTGATTTTGGGCTTGGTGGAATGAGGTTGTTCATTGTGGAAGAGTTTCAAGAGCCTTCAGGAGCACAGTATATTTGCCACTGCTTGAAATCCCCAAATGTGAGAGATGTTGACTCTCACTTGAAGACAATGAAAAGAGGAGTACTTATCAGTAGGAGAATTCGCCTCTTTCAGTAGTTTTCTATTTTTTCCTGTCTTTTACATCAGGACTTTTCTATTCTTGCCATGTAGGTTGAAAGGAATAGAGGGAATGAAGCGTGATACTACCTAAATAATCCTTAATGGGAGAAGGCATGGTTTAAAATGTACAGATAGTGCTAGAAGAATTCAATTACTGCTTTTTCAGTGTGGATTATATTTCCTTGAAGTTCTGATGCTAAAACTAGTTCCTCTTGCCTGCAATATGAAATATTTTGTAGTAATGAGTATAATGTTTTCATGTATTTCATGTGTAAAGTGAATGATTTCAGGTTGCTAGGGGAGCTATCTCTTTGAGTGCTGTTCTGACTTTTCAATTCTGAATATTGCCTTGGTCTGGAGAAAGAGAGAACAAAAGCACTTTGGTCATTCTTATGCAGACACCTGACACAATGGATTTAATGAAATAAATACAAATTAAACCGATGCAGTACAAAAATTTCTAATGAAGGATTCATTAATATTTGTATTTGAAATTTGAACCATTTAACTGTTAACTCTATAGCAGAAGTCTTTTATATAAGTGCTTGTGGGCTCTCTGATCTGTCAAACTTGAATATGGCAACCTACATTTCAGCATCTAGTTTTCAGCATCTAGTTTCTTTTCCTTTGCAACTTTTGCCTTAGTAAAAAAGAGTTGGCTTGTCCTGTATCAATTATCTTTGAGTGAGTTTCCCCAGAGAGAAGTTAACCACCAGCTTTAATAGAAGGATTCCAAAACCTTTGCTTGATTTCAGTGGAATTACTTGGATATACCTTCATACAATTTGATGATGTTCTTTCTGGTGTGTACATGGATAAGGTATTTTTAGTACATGCAGAAAACATTTTTCAAATTTTTGACAGAACTGTGTCTGAAGAACTTAAATGATTTATCATCTTTCGATTTGATCAGGATGGATGAAGCAAATAATTTCAAACCAACAGGTAACACTTGTTTCAAATAAACTAATTTCAGAAATGATGTAGAGATAGTAGTGAACTATGAAGGATCTCAACTACCCTTGTGCACCATTAATAATAGTACATAAATGTCGTAGAAGGTAAAATCTGAAGGATTGTTTGAGTAGAATATATGGATAAGTTTCTTGACGAAGTCATAGATGTTCCTTCTTTTAATCTTGTTTCATGAATAGATCTTGTCTTGTTGCTGAAAATTTGTTGTAGATGAGAAGATTGCAGAACACTGTGACAACATAATTGGTTGTGGCACAGTGCAATGAAGGACAGGTTTTACCAATACCTGCTCTTCTCTACAGTCCTCTCCTAGAGGTGTTTGGCTTCTTAGCAACCACAGTTCACTGCCTGGTGTGTTAGTGGGACTTAATCTCCATTGGAGAGAACTGCCACTGGCACACGGCTCTTTCTGCCACTCTGTGATCGGGTCAGTAATGTCCATCACACAGCTGGGGGCAATAACATACTGAGTACTGGGAGAAAATCTCACAGAGGCCTGTAATAAGAAAATTAATTTAATTTGGAGGCTTAAAAAGCTCTAAGCCACTGAAATATACTTGACATATTTATTTTTTAAAGGTATATTCTTGTTTTACAGACACTGGAAGATTAATGGCGTGGTATTACATTGCATTCAATACAGTGAAGCAATTTTTCACAATTAAGGGAACTGAGACACTAAATGAATTGGTAATTTGGCTTTTTTTTAAATCACATATGTTCAACTGTTTTTAAAGTCTAAGAAAAGAAGTGTAAGGTATTTGTATTTGTTTTAAAGAGCTCAGGCTTTGTTTGCATAAAGTTTTAGAGAAGACATAATTAAATTCTATATGGAATATTTTTGAGGCTTTGTACTTCGAGATCTTTTGATTTCCAACTCTTTCTCCCCTCAGTAACCTTACTTATGAAAATGCAAAGTTAATGAAGCTGTTCTGTTTATATATTAAAAGCCTTCATGTTTTCTGCTTTACTAAGTTTTTTTTGTTGCAAAAACCAGCTGCATCAAGAGCATGTTTTACTTTTTAAGGGAATTGTCTTTCTGTTTTAGGCAATTTTCCTTTTTCAGGTAACAGGTTGTTATCTGAATTACAAGACATTTTGTTTTCAAACAAATACCATGGTAAAACAGATTTGCCGTGAAAAATTGAATGCTTGTTCTCCTGTGACTATCTTTGTTATTATAGTGTGAAGAAAGCAAGGTGAAATACATAACAGAAAAAGTTGTTTGTATTTGCCTTGTATAAAGTGTTAGCAATGTGTGTGGTTGATTTTAAATAACCTCAACTGAAATAGTAATCTAAAAGCTGAAAGGAAAATTTTCCCCTTTCATTAATAGCCTTTATAGGAAGAAGAAAGTTGGTCAGCATTAAAAAGAACTGATGGATTGTGTCTTCATGGTTATACTGTTGAGGCAATAACTTTTTTCAAGTGTTTTTAAAAAAAGTTAGAAGAAGTGATAGAAAAAATGGCGAATTAAAACAATTACTAAAAAAACTTTAATTACTACAGATTACAATGATCTCCAACTGCACAGAATTTGTGGATGTGAAGTTAAGAACAAATGAAAAGAAAATATTGAACACTTTGAATAAAGACAAAGACAAAATAACTATCAGGTATTTTTAAAATACATTGAAAATTGAAAATACTTTTTTAACAATAAATAAGATGAATTGTAGAAAATATGTATGTTTTCATGCATAGGTTTCCAATGGAGGGGAAGATAAAAACAAGAGAAATGAAAGTAAACTGGTAAATATTATATTGCCTTTTTATTTTTTTATTGGAGAGCTGCCATTTTATGGCTGTTGAAATCCCTGGTAAATTTTTTGTCATTTTGCAGAGGACCAGATCTTGTATTTTGTTGTTTCTATTCTGAATTTCCTTTTTTACCCCATTAAAAACTTTTATGTTTTTCTTTGTTTACAAACTCACTCTTTTTCCAGTCTCATTCAGGCTCAGCTGGGATGTATTCCTATTCAAGACTTCACTCTGACACAAGATACTGGCAGAATATTTAGAAATGGCTTGAGAGTTACTAGATGTATGGTAAAATTTAATTTTTGTTTTTTGGTACATACCCTAATAAGCTACATTTTAACATAAGTCAATCTTCTTTTTACAGGGCTATCTGACTTTCTGTCATCATCTAAGAACAACTTCTCTGCTTTATTAAACTCCTTGATTTTAGCAAAGTGTTTCAGGTGTAGACTCTGGGAAAATTCACTTCATGTGTCTAAACAATTGGAAAAAATTGGTAGGTACTAGTTAGAAGTTATACAAGTGTAATCTTGACAGAGAATCAAAAATCATAATTAGCCTGCTGATTTTTGTGATATCTACATACATAATTGACTTAGTCTGCTAATTACTTATTTGCCACAATTGAGTACCACAGTTGTCAAAAGAATCTGCCATAACAAAAGCAAGCTGTTTAGTAATTTCTTAAGGCTTTCAAAATATTTCAGAATTGTTCTTATTCCTTAGTGTTCCTTTCAGTATCCCAGACATATTCCACATTGATGTAATTGCATGTCCCTGACTAGGCTATGCCTTCCTTTCCAGGCATCTGTTGCTGTAGGTTTTCTTACCTGTATGCATTAAAACCTTTTAATTCACATTGAAAAGGATAGGAATCATGAAATAGAAATCAATTTATTATGCATGAGGTTCTTATACACATGATGATCAAAAGTTTATAATGATCTTCCTTTCACTGTATCCTGTTATTGAATGAACTTCTAGCTGGAAGTACAGGCTTGTCATACTTAATTGAAAAGGAGTTCAGAAATTTTTGAGTCCTCTGTTTTATAAAAACGTAGTCCTACTTGTTTGAGGTAGTAGTGTATCTTCCTGCTTTGATGTCTGGTCTTATCATACCTTCATGCTTTCAAAATTCACTGCAGCATTCTCTGTATTTCTTCTTTAGAGACACATCAGCTCTGCACTGAACAGTGTAGTACAGAGATCTGTAAATTAGAGAATGGCTAAACCCAGAGGTCCATCGGGTACAGTACCTTACAGCCTTGCCTGCTCTAGGGCAGAGGCTGTAATGCTTCATTCATGTGGATTCAAAGCAAGGGCAGGGCTTGTTAGCCTCTGCACAGCACAGTGCATAGTGCTGGGAACACATTTCCACTATCCCACACCTGTGGCGATGTCAACACAATCATCTGAGGAATCTGCCTCATGTTCAGCACTTCTGTGGAGTGAGGATGAGTGGGATAAATATGGCACTTGCAGTGTAGACAAATCCTTCCCTGTACACTATATTCAGTAGAATAAAGTCACATTTAGTTTTTTAATAAGAGGTGTATATACAAACATCTCTGTCCAATTTTCCTTTTCTTGGGTACTTTTTTCTTATGCTGTCATAGCTTTTGCAGCATATGTTACAAAGAACTGCTAACTTCCAAAGTGTCATTTGTTCCCCTCACAAGCTTCTTTTGAACATGCTTCTGACAGTTCACTCTTTTTCTGAATCAAACACTGAATTGATGCCTGTAGTTTGATGTGATTTATAACCTCTGCCTATGGCTGCTAATCTTCTTCTGTTTCTTTCTGAAGTTAAATGAATAAAGTTCCTAGAAATCTGCTGATACCATGTAGCATATTCAGAAATCCTTAATTTTTAAACTCTTAGCTCAATGTGCTATTTTTGAACCTTAAAAATGCCTTATTAGTTAGTATTTCCAGTATAAGAGTTACTGTTCTTTGACTGACAATTGGCCTTACTGAGACTGATATTTCAGTTGAATTCTTACTGCATTTCTACAACTCTTGTCCAATAATGACACTCCCTCTTGTTGCTGAATGGTAGGTTTGATTTCTGTTTGCTTGTTCTGACAGACAGGATAATGATTAGTTGTTATACAGGATTTATGACGTTTACT